CCTACTTCAGTTTATTGCCATCTTAGTGTGCAGGAAGCAGCCCAGGAATAAAATCTGTTAATTTCCTCTGCCCTGGACTTCTTTTTTTCTTTAAAAAAACAAAACTGAATTTGAAAACAAGTTGCTAAAACCTCTTGGAGCCTGGCTTCTGGTCGACCTGCTGTTCGTTGGGAAAGAGTGAGAAATTAGCAGGGAACAAGGTAAACTTGCAACAGTGTTGCAATTTCCCTGTTTTTTTTCAATCCATTTTTTTTTAAAAATAAGCAGGGTAGTTACTTTTAAGGAAGTCGTTGTTTTAGAAACATCTGAACAAAGCTACAGGTTGTTGACCTGTATAGTACAAAACAGACAAGTGAGCCTACCCGTTATGGCATATAGATATGGTATATGGATCACCAAGGTAAACTTGCAACAGTGTTGCAATTTCCCTGTTTTTTTTCAATCCATTTTTTTTTAAAAATAAGCAGGGTAGTTACTTTTAAGGAAGTCGTTGTTTTAGAAACATCTGAACAAAGCTACAGGTTGTTGACCTGTATAGTACAAAACAGACAAGTGAGCCTACCCGTTATGGCATATAGATATGGTATATGGATCACTGACAGCATGTCCGTTATGGCATATAGATATGGTATAGGGATCACTGACAGCATGATTTGGATTTTTTTAAAAACACACTCTCCTCTGCAAGTGTTTCCACTTAAAATGGTTCATCTTTACCCTTTAAGAGCTGTCACACACCTTCCCTGTCTGGCACTAGGGCATGCATTCTTCTTGGCAGGCTCTTTTAGCCAAGAGATAGCAGCCTCTAGCAGTTGCAAATTCCATGGGAAAGAGAGAATGTGTGGTGGGGGAGAAGGAAGCAAGGAGAAAACAGTATGAAATTGAGAGAGTAAGAGGCAAGCAATGTTGTTTTTTTTTTAAATCACTTCCCTTTGCCCTCCTCAGATGACTGGAGAAGTGAACGCTTAATTGGGCTACAAGGGGTCATCTGTTGTTCTGACAGGAAAAGTATGATCTCAACAGCCCTTCTGTAACTCAGTCCACCCCACCCAACTGGACAGGCCCAGTGTAATTAGACAGCCAAATTATCCAGCTTCAGCCAAGATCAAACTAAACAGAGTTGCTTTGAGATGTGAAAAGTGAAGTTGGAAGGGGCCTACAAGGCCATCGAGTCCAATCCCCTGCTCAATGCTATTTCTGTAAGAGCAGTAGAACTCACAGAATCTCCTGGCCTAGATAATGTCTCTGGACTACAGCTCCCATCATCCTGAAGCTACCATTGCCAGGTGAGAGGTAATCTATCCAGCTATTTTAAGCTGGGGCATCAGTCCTTATCTGAGCAAATACTTGCATTTCTACCTCTTATTGTTTTGGAGATATTTTAAGTCAAGCAAACTTTTGATTTTATTTACAAGGCAAACAGATAATAGGTAAAGGTAAAGGTTCTAGGGTGTGGTGCTCATCCCCATCTCCAAGCCGTAGAACCAGCGTTTGTCCATAGACAGTTTCCGTGGTCATGTGGCCAGCGCGACTGGATACGGAACACCATTACCTTCCCACTGTGGTGGTACCTATTTATCGACTCGCATTTACATGCTTTCAAACTGCTAGGTTGCCAGGAGCTGGGGCAAGCAACGGGAGCTCACTCTGTCGCGTGGATTCAATCTTACGACGGCTGGTCTTCTGACCTTGCAGCATAGAGACTTCTGTGGTTTAACCCGCAGCAAACAGATAGACTGTTGAATGGACAAAGTTATTACCTTGTTCCACTTTTAGCTTAAGGCTGTAATTTGCCTCTCAAGGGACTTGCTTCTGAGTAGACCTAAGATTTCACTGCAAGTTGCTACTGTGAGAGGCATTAGGCACAATGTTTTCCCATCACATTGAATGTGTATCTTACACTAAAAAAAGATGAAAAATGATAGTTGATTAACATTTACATAGATCTTTCTGCTGAATGATTCCTGTTTTGTGCTTATTTCTTCTTGACATTTATGTCCTGTCACAAAGCTCAGCAAAGCCCTCAGGGAAGCTTATAATGCAGCATGGAGAAACAGTAAAACCACAATGAGACACAGCATCAAAAGTGGTCAATTAAGCACAAACCTCCAAAACAGCCACAATATGACTTCATCAGGTCATTAGTAAGTGGGCCATTTCTCAAGGCAAACAAGCCATTAACAACTATAATTCAGCTTTGCTGCACTAATGTGGTCTGGGAAAAAAATAAACATTTTGCTTAATTTAAAGAAAGAAAGAAAACATTTTGCTTGTTTTAAAGAAAGATTTTGCAGTTATTCCCCAAAATCCCCTTAAAAAGAGAGGTTACTTACCTGTAACCATAGTTCTTTGAGTGGTCCTCTGTGAATCCACATGAATGGGTTAAGTCTGCACCTGCGCAGGACTTCTTGGAACTTTCTAGAGCTTTAAATCATGTGTTTAGTAGGACGTTCCCTCATGAAGCACATGCTCTGCCCATCGAAGAGTCCCTCAGTTCCTAAAGAAGTCCGCCACTATCAAGAGAAGAAATACAGACAAAACGTGACGGACAGAGGGGAGGACGGGCAGGACGTGTGGATTCACAGAGGACCACTCAAAGAACTATGGTTACCTGTAAGTAACCTCTTTTCTTCTTCGTGGTCTCTGTGAATGCACACAAATGGGTGACTAGCATGCTCACTTACTGGCAGGTGGGACGTCACAAATGATGAGAGGACAGCTCAGCCAAAACCTGCGTCCTGTTTAGCTCTGACATCAAATCTATAGTGGGTGATATATATTGAGGGCCTGGACCAAGTAGCAGCCCGACATATGTTGGAAATGTCCACGCCATAAAGTAAGGGTGTAGAAGTAGCAACAGCTCTAGTAGAGTGCGCCCTAAGGATGCCTGGCGGGGGCCTCCACGTCGCCTCATAGGCCAAAGAGATGGTCTAGATGATCCACCAAGAAAGAGTCTGGGATGTCTCCTGCAAAGGGACATGGCACTGTGGGTTAAACTGCAGAAGCTTCTGGGCTGCAAGGTCAAAAGATCAGCAGTTTGAATCCACACAGCGGAGTGAGCTCCCGCCGCTTGTCCCAGCTCCTGCCAACCTAGCAGTTCGAAAGCATGTAAAAACGTGAGTAAATAGGTACCACGTCGGTGAGAAGGTAATGTCATTCCGTGTCTAGTTGCGCTGGACACGTGACCACGGAAACTGTCTTTGGATAAACGCTGCCTCTGTGGCTTGGAGACGAGGCAAAACCTGCGTCCTGATGAGCACCGCCCCCTAGAGTAGGACACGACTGGACAATTTATCAAGGGAAACCTTTACCTATACTTTAACATACTACATAATAGACAGTTAAAAATCTCAAACTACAATACCTAAACATGCTACATAATATACAGTTAAAAATCTCAAACTACAATACCTAAAACCACACCTCAAATGTATATAAAAATAATATATAAAAATACGATGCACAAACAAGCAACAGAAATAAAGAAGTCAAATGCTTGCTTACTATCCAAAAGCTTGTTCAGTTTTTACTGGTGCTTTCCAGTCGAAGAAAAGGTGTTTGTTCCCACCTTTGGCGGGAATGTCCAAAGCCATAGAATGATTGAAATATGATTTGGAAGATTTATGGAAGATATAGGATACTCTCTCCCATAAAGTCTGCTGCTAATACTGTTGAATTATATAGATTAAAAAGTAATACAAAATCATTATATGTATTAAAAGTACAATACGTCCGGTGAAGATTTCAGAGGGCAGGTCTAAGCTGGCTGCATAGTTTAGCTGCCTGCACGGCTATTCATCTCCTGCTTATTATTTTTCAGATTTCTATTCATTAATAATAATCGTCGTCTAGTCATGTCCGACTCTTCATGACCCCATGGACCAGAGCACGCCAGGCCCTCCTATCTTC